GTAATTGTTGAATTCCAATTATTTTATAGTTTGTTGCATTTTACTTAGATTTTATTTTTTTAAATTAATTATTATAATTATTATTTCCTTTTATTATAAAATATACATCGACGAACAAACTCATAAAACGAAAGAGATTTATTAATATTAATGAAGAAGACTAACGTTAACCCATAATATAATCAGTGTGTAATTTTTGAGTAAACTTTCAAAATATAATATGTTACCTCCATGTCGACCACCGCAAATACTGATTAATGGTCGTTATAATATGGGTACGCTCGACATTTTCAAAAATAAAGTATTGAGCTCCGTTCCCACTATACAATAACACGTCCATACCCATGATACAGTGGCGGTGTTGGGAAATCATAATAAATCAGTGGGCATAAGGAAACGTCCAACAATCGATCGTTAATATTAAGAGACTGTGTTGGATGCATGTGTAAATAGAACTGAATGTAAAGAAATGGCCGTAAAGTACCATGAGATAATTTTATATTTTTTCATTTCACAGTTATTTGATAATGAACATCATACGTTTTTTTATGACGTTTATCTTATATCATCTGCAGACTAGGCAATAATTATTAATATGTGTGTACACACTTTTGTTTTAGAAACGAGCGCACTAACAAAACAAATCCGTTGATGTAATGTTGATAAAAGGCGTAGGAGTGGGCTACGATGATTAGTCTGAGGGTGTTTTGAATTTTTGAAATCACTCTCCGCTGCGATATAGTCACTTTGAGTCAGTCGGGGTCCATCCCTGGGCTTAAAGACAATAACCGCAATGGCGAGTGCGTGTGTGATCGCAGTGCATAGACAACATCTCGAGTGCTTTTAACCATTCAGCAATGGTGGTGGTAGACGAAGGCGAGGGTTAACGTCAGAACCATCGTCGGCAATGAAGGCGGTGGAGGTGGTGGTTTGGGCCGTGCACAATTCCCATTAGGTACTCCCTGCAGCATTATCGTTCTCTCTACATTAATGCAGGTGGCCTGTGCTATTACGTGGCTCTCACCGAGTTTTATACCGAAACCTAATTGGGATAATATTCGCATAGTATTATCGTTGCGTACAAAGCAAACTGTTTTTTTTTTAAACTTTTTTTTTTTTTTATTATTATTATTATGATTATTGCACCCACTCACAATTCAATTTAAAAGCGACTTTCAGCCCATACGCATTTTATCGAAACGTTGGGATTTTACCGATGATGATAACGAGATTGCGACGTATTGCGCAAACCTCGGCGTACATTGTTAATTATGCACACGTGATGTGGAGCTTTCCACCTAAGGGAATTTCACCCGTTATCAATATGTCCATTTTCTAACAGAGGTTATACTCCGATTTCTGATCCCTCCCTCCATTACCAAAAAATATATTATTTAAAACATTTTTTGAGATATCCGTTTATCCTATATAATAATTATTATTTCATCGAATTTGTTACCCCGAACGCTGACACAAACTTCAGTCATTCAATAGCACAATAACATTATGAAAAAAATAACTTATTAATGTTATTGATTTAATTTTTAGTAAATCATTTAATTCTATTGATTATGTTGTTTCGTATGATACTTATCTGAAAATATTGAAATAATAATGAACGATTGTGGGTATATTAGATTAATTTACAAAAATGTTTGATGTATTCATGCGTACCTACACTTAAAATAGTATTACTCGAACGATAAACTACGAAAAAATGTTTAATTTTCTTTTTGTAAAAATTATAAATGACAATTTAATGTGCAGTATAGCAAAATATTGCAGATACATCAAGGTTGCATCGATTTGAAGTTATTTTTTTATGTTAGAAAGTCATTTTTAATGTTAAAATCGATTAAGTACGATGTTCATATAAATAATGTTTTTAACAATATAATTAAATTATGTGCTTTATTATTCAAGTAGTTTTCTGGATTTTTCTTAAAAAAACATTACTGTTCATAAGCTGAGACGTACTAAGCGTTCAGTGGAAATTATAGAATTATAACTTTTGTGCTGTTACTTAAAGTACACAATGAATAAAACAAAGTCCTATAGTCACGTGTTGGCTGCTCGAATGATTCGAAAACAAGTACAAAATAACGTTAATATTATGAGGTTAACGTATAGATATAAGCACATAATTAAACAAAACAAAATATAATTATCACTCATAATAGTTTGATCATCAGTTTTCTACATTGCAATCCTCTAATTATTGATCAATTTTATTTATCACCAGTAAATTCACAAAACCTCTCATCCATCTGTTTTGAATTATTTATTTTATTTTATTTTATTATTATCATTATTTATTTATTTATTTATTTTGAGAGAAAAGCGTTACTATACTAGCAGACGGCAGTATAAGCCACAAAGCATAGATAAAATACTTTTAAAAAGTATTTAGAATAACTACTAGGATACTTATAAACAAAGTATTTATGCCATTATTTTGAATAGTAATTTTTTTTTTTTTTTTGGTTTCTATATAATATTCTTCTATTAAATCAAATTTATTTTATCATTAATTGTTTTTAATTTATTGTAATAACTAATAAGTACCAACTAAAATACCAAAAAAAAAAAAACTATTGCTGAAAAATAAAAATATTCAGTGGTTCAAATTTTGTTTTTAAGATAACAAAAAAAATGTATGTAATACTGTAGTAATTTTAGGAAAATTTAAAAAAAAATAAAAACAATTATTGTAATAATATAGAAATGTGTATTTATCTATTGAAATTAAATGTTTTAAAAAAAAAATATTCAAAGTAATTTATTTATACTATTATACAAGTCTATCTCATTTACCGTACAATGTTTATTAAATAATCGACAAAAAATAAAATTATATAAATTCAACAATCATATTTATTCAAAATTTCAAGCATAAAAATTCTGATTTTTAAAATTTTAACTTTTCATAAAAGACTATTTTTAACACTTAAAATACTGTATCATTTAAAAATGTTACAGTGGTGATATAAATTTCTTTTCGAAATGAAACCCGCTTTTTTATTGTAAATTGTAAAAAAAAATTACTGTTTTTGCAAGTATCGAAGCGTCTTTATCGTAAATTAAAAGTTTTTTAGTTATTTAACTTTTTATACTAAGAATAATATTCCTTAATAATAGTTTAACAAAATAATAGCATTTCACAAAATTTTAAAATGTAAGTTTATTAATCTTTAGTAGGTATATTATTTTTTTTAATCGCATATACTAAATATATATAGAATTAACCTAATAGCATATATTAATTTCAACGCGTACACACACATCGTATAGTTATTAACTCATTAACTACTTATACAAATTGTAATTTGTTAATTGATACACATCAAAGGCTATTACTGCATGAATTTTATATAAAAAGTTCTATGTATTTAAAAATACGGTTGTTAAATCTTTATACTTGTAAATTCAAAAAACCAAAATGTTATCAAATACATTGAATAAAATAACGTAAGGGGACGTAATTGGTAAAAAAAATCTGTTTATGTATACTTATACGTATGCATGTATATCTAAGACAATTTTGATTTGATTTGATCAGATTAAAATATGCCGGCACATTTTATAGTACATTACACAGATATTAGATGTATTATTGCTACATATTATGCGTGAAATACGCATATTATCATATATTATCGTCGTTTATAACTTAACGTCTGCACTAGATACATTTGTAAGATATATATGTTTATATAATATATATATATATATAAATCTAAACTGACCTATCAAATGTAGGTTTTCAAATTGTATATTCCAAGTAATAAAACGTTTAAATGGGATTTATAGTACGTTTTATTATTCCTTTAAGTTATAAAAAAATAAACAAAACAGATAATTACAAACAATTGAATAATTACAAAAATACCTAGGAATTGTATATTCTCTGTTATAACTGTTCGGTTGATTTAACAATTTGTGGGCTCAAAACAAAAAGACGCTATCATAAAATTTCAACTTATACAAGGAAAATATAGTAAATTCCAAACTGTTATATCTTAGTTTAAAACGAATGATTTTTAATAATTGTCATATTATTTAATAATATATCATTGAATAACAAAAGGTTTTTATGCGTAATTCTCATTATTTGAATTTAAGTTAGACTTAACTTTAAAAAATGATAATGTAGAAACAATTAAATTATTATGGACCAAACCGTTCTACAGATAAAATATTTGTTTGCAAATATATTTTTTCTACCTAGTTGGAACTTATTTGTCTGAATTAAATGTATATTTCAGAGAAACGAATTTTGATTACAAAGAGGATAGTTCACAGAATTTACTATTTTGTTGATAATTAACCTTAATTTAATATTATAATGTTAAATAATTATTATGAATTAATACTTTTTGGCTATCACTTAGAAATTAATGATTTAGTATTTGATTACATAGATTTTGTATAAATTTATAGTTAACCTAAAACTTCTATTAAAATAATAGATTTGCAAATTATATTGATTTAGAATAGGTTTTATAGTTTATGAAAAAATATATATAATGCACCTAAATAGTTATTTATGAGCTAAAATTATAAGTTATTAATAATTAAATATGTGTGTATAAAATTTGGGTTTTAAAAAATATTTAGTTAAAACATCGTTTAGTCATGAATCTACGAATTCCGTTGCTGTAATTATAAAGAATTCTCGTGTAAAAAGAAATTAATTACATGAAATTCGTATACCTATTTTAATAATTCTATTCGAATACTATACTCGTATCATTAAGTCTACATTATATAAAATAAATGAAAATATAAAAATATTACGATCGGTTAATATATTAGTACATATATTCCTTTTTTTACAATCGTTATGTCACTGATTGTAAAAGATTAAAATAATGTGTAGTATTTTATAGTTGTCATTGAAATTGTTTTGACTAGATTTAGTCAAAGGTTTCGACCACGGCCGTTGTTTAACCACGACATATTTACAAGTATAAGGGGTTATTATGAAAACAGAAATTTACCTGTATATCGCCGTTTTCTCATATCTGTACCAAACAACCAATATGACAGTGTCCAGGGGATCGTGGGGTATCGGTGGCGCAATGTCACACGGCAATGAAGCAGTTCCATGAACGACGGCGAATATCTGTCGCACTGCACCTGTGAACAAATACCACACGATGATGAGTAAAATTATAAAATTTTTGTTTACGTGACCAAGATAAAATATTTTTATTTTTTAGGGATATAAAAGGCTAATAATTGTTTTTGAATACAAAAGCTTAACAATGATTCCTTGTAAGACTTTGATATTTTGATGAAGTAAATATAATATTAAGATATTTTCAATTTTTACAGTAACCTTAATGTGAGTTATAATTTTAATACATGTCTAAGTTTAAAAAGAAGTTTTTTCTGCAGGGAAGAGTATTTTTAAAATATTATTTAAAATGTTAAAACCTCTCAGCTTATCCTTATCTTGCCATTGTCTAGTCTATACCACTAACTTAGATACGTTATCCAACTTTTATAGGATTAGTTAATTCGGTGTAAACATCAAAAGCCGTATAAATAAGGTTGTCAAAGAGGTCAGTTAAGTTTAAAACTAGTTGTAACTTACTTAACCTATAAATATATATTAATATTAAGAGTCAAACTTGTGATAAACAGTGTATACATTAAATTTTAATTGGTAACATACCCACCTATTATAACGATGGTCAATAAACATAGTTATTAAAGTGTAAAATAGGTCATTATTTCGGTGTAAATGAATGTGTCTAAGGTATAGTATGTTTTTAAAAGTATTTGAACTGCAATAGTTGTGTGGCGTAGTAAAATTAATTTTGGAGTTTCAATCCAATATCATGGAATCATTTATTTCAAACGTTCCATATACATTTTAAGCCTCCGAATAAATTTTATAAATGAGACCTATAGTGTTTATTATTGAGAATATTGCTGAATTGATTTTTTGATTTTATTATTTTACAATATTAAATGCATCATAATGCTTCAAATTATAACTAATATTTTTTTATAGTTATTAATACTAATATTATTTTAATGTTTGTTTTATTCACAGTTTATGTAGATAAAATAAAAAATAGATATTTTAAATTATTACATGATCACCAGATCAAAATAAAATCATGTTGCTTTCACATTTATTGATACAATGATTAATGATTATATAAAATTACAATTTTGATAACTATGACGTAGGCAAATAATAAACTCTTTGGATAATTTTAGATTTAAAAAGAATTAATACATTTACATACTTATTTTTTAAGTATTATTATTGTTAATATTTGTCAAGTGTTGTTATTTATGATAGTACGATACATTTAAATAAGGTGACATTTAAAAAATGGTGGCTTAAACACTTCCAACTTAATTTCAAAAGATTCCATGGATATATAAATCATAGCAAAATAAGTAAACTGCCAAGATAAGTAGAATTTATTAAAATTGGTATATTTTATTTTATTTTTTTTTTTTTTTTTAGTGCGCGTTATGCATTTTAAATTTATTTAAATTATTAAGCTTAAAAATTCGAGTAATAATTTATATTTTATATTTAATTATTTATTTTCTAAAATACATATCACAGAGCATCGGTTGTGGCATAGAAAAATGTCGATTTGCAACATATTTGGTAATTGTGAATGTCTGTTACAGTACCTACTTAATTGTGTGATTTGTAGACGTATTCATTTAATGAAAATTGAAGTGAAAATGTTCGATTACAGACTGTAAATAATAAATCAAAAAATTTAAATATATTGATGGTAGATATGATATGAGTATACTAGTAAGACAGAATCAAATTCAAATGATTTTTGTGTATTAATAAAATAGGAATATCAGATGCTCTGCAATATATTCGACTAATAATAGAACAACATTACCTATTTATTATTGAATCAAATTTTAGTATTTACAAAAGAATTATTTATATTTTATCACCTATATTTACGTAAAATTAGGAACAACACAAAAATAATAGGGTTTTCGAGTAAAACCGATATTATTATTATTATAACCACCACAGTCATCATAATGTTTTATTAAAACATAATTTATTAAAATATTGTGCTTATGGATAAATGTTGATGGTACACAGTAATTATAATTATTCTAGGAGCATAATCACTTATGTAAATATAATGAATTAGAATTACACTATTCTATTTCAAGGTAAGTACCATTATTTACAATTAAAATATTTCTATTCGATTAAGTATTAACGGAGTAAACATTAAACTAGTAAAAATAAATTATTACTTAAATTTAACGTCGGCTAATTTTCATGTTGTATTTTATTAACCGTAACATTCATGTTTATATAGCATTCATTTTTCTCGAAAAACTCATAAATAAATATATAATAAATATAAAACAAATATGAATTTAATGTATCAATGACATTATTTTTTATTTATTAATTAAGAGTTAAAATTACAAATGGAATGCAAAATACTGAATCGTAAATCGTTAAGTAAATATGTCGACAATAATGATAATTATACGACGATAATAACATTTCGTATTTTATCGAATTCTGGTATAAATGAAATCTCGTTTACAGACACTATGTAAACTGTAGAGTTTTATTGTTATTATACATAGACTTTTACTTATTATTGTATTGTATTTTTATAACTTACTGAACGTGAACTAATGATTCAATAACAAATAATATACTCTGTTATTATTTACAATATTTTATATTTCTCAAGCAAAATCTAATTTGGTCAACGAGAACATATAATGAAACACGAATAAGGTAAAAACCTGGTATTTCAAATTGTATATGACAGCTAGTATGTAATTTGTTAAGGGTTTTGTCTTGGGTTCAATACAATGTCGTCGAACTTGGTAATAATGATGAAATATTATATTATTTAACACTAGCGATTACCCAGACATCTTATTTTATTAATTCTTCAAATTATTTATTTACTATTGATTTTATTATTCATTTAAATGGAAATACTGGTTAAAATATCTGTTCTATGTCAATAGATTTTGATAAACCGTAAAAAAAATAGTTTGGTAACCAGGTAATTCTATGACAAATAAACAACAATTTATTGTATTCATTTAAAAATACATAGCCAGGTTTGTTAGACTTTAATCAGAGTGCTCATTATTTAGTAGGACCTAAAAAAATATACGCGATAATGACAAAATTAAGATTACTTATTTGGCCAAATATGCATTGGTAAGAGACAGTAGTACGCTAGAAAGAAAAAAAATATAGTTTTATCATTATATTCTATGACGGCGAATTATACAGGCAAAACAGCTACATACGAGTATACTATATTTCAACAAGTCATCGGAAATTACATTATAATACTAATAATAAAGTCATAATATTGTTAATATAATTTATTTATTCATAAATATTTAAAACAATAATTATAAGTAACCAACTCAACAAACGTATATGTACAAAGTATAATTTTCCAAAATTGTAGATCTTGTATTTAATGAAACCAACCCTAATACTGAAAAAATTAAGACTGGTGGAAATATTATATTTATATTTTGAAAAATTAAAACGTTAATCACCAACAATGTACTGCTATTTTTAAGAAATGGTTTTAGGTTTATTATTTTTAATTTATAGGTCTTATAAATGCGTTTAGAATAATGCATTAATAGTATTAACAAGAACATATCGGACAGGGATAACCAACACAGGCCAACTAGTCAAATCTGATTCACCATAATTTATTAGACAGCCACATAAAGTAATTTATACTCTTACACATAATTTAATGTATATATTATATATATATATATATATCAATATCAATACGAAAATTAAATTAAATATAAAATGAATTGAATGTGTAATACATACAATTACCTAAAAACCTAATAACTTAAAAAAAAAAAAAAAAATAAAGTAATTTAACCAACAATATTATTATTATTATTTTTTTAATCTATTAAATATAATAAACAAATAAAAATGCTCATGAATCATCGATTTAAGTTATTAGTTTTATTTAAAGAAGCATTTTTTATGTTTACTTATTATTCATGAGGGTTTATTTCAATGCGTTTGGATGATTTAAACGTGTCAAAAATCATTGTGTTTTCAGATAAATGGTAAAGATTTATCTGAATTAATTAAATTCATATTAATTAAAAAAAAAAAACATTTTATAGTCAATAATCATAAGATTTACGTTGCAAAATAAATTTACTCTGGTTTTAATTCATTTTAAAAGCTGCTATCAATTACACTGACCTAAATTTGAACAATGAAATTTGAAACTCATTACATGAAAATTAAACACGCTATAAGAGAAAAAAAATTCACTATGATATTATTATTATTTTTTTTTTTTTTTTTTTGATTATACCTACTATATTATAATATTATAAACCATTCTGCTCTGTGAATGTCGAGTAACAGTGGTGTACGTACACAACAAGAGTCACCCATGCTTTCGTTCTATAATTCTTAACCCTTGACCGCCACCGTTGACAATGCATTGAGTTTAAATGCCATTTTTTTTTCAAGTTAAATAGATTTTCTGACAAAGTCTACTACAAACCAAACCAACGGCTCAATATGTTTCGTATTATGCGTATAAAATACAAATGTTGTGTTGATGATACTCAAGAAATTTCCAAGCTTATCGGAAAAAAACAGCTTCAATAGAGCGTACAAGAATTACTAACCCATAAGAACGTACTTATATATATAAAACATGTAATAATAATTAATAGTAGTTGCATGCCATGAAAGTTTTATATGCATATAGTACGGTCGTTGTTATTTTGTCATATCATCATATTTAATACTTGATGTTACTTTTCACTGAACAACCATCATGATCACGAAATTACACGTTTGACAATTAATAATATAATATGTACACATGCTTTTATAAATAAAATAATTTTAGGTAGCTCCGAACATTTTTGAAATAAAATTATTATTTTATTTTAATTAATCAACATACTATATGTCGTAATATTCTCAAAATTTTTCATGTTTTTTGGAAATACTAGTGATGTTTGAATTTGTAATTAAATTCAACAGCTCAAATAGTTGAATAAACACGATATAATGAAGAGACATTTTCAAAATGGTTAGTTATGCAAAATTCTTTAAATCAATCTATTGTACA